CCCCCCCCCCCCCCCAAGGCTTCTTGCTATGTTCTTGCTGTGCAGGCATGCGAGAGGGTTTGAGGTGCTGAAGCCTCTATGAGTACCTATCCCACCTCGCCCAAACCGCATTCCTGTGGCATTCCGGTCAAGAACAAACTGCCCGAGGCGATGGATGTGGCTCCAGTTGGACATTTCTCACGAGAAACCAACGGTCTTCCAATGTTTAAGCAACCCAACAGATGTCCACGGATTGCCTCGTGCTACTCTCTGTGCCGCCTGCGTCCGTCGTGTGTGCGGTTAGGTACACGCACTTGAGGCTGAACATGTTTCCCGATGGGGGCATCGCGCGGCTCAAGGTGCACGGCATCGTCGAGCGCTCCTGGGATGAGGTGCCGGTGAGCAAGTTGTTGATGGGCTTGTGTGATGCTTGTTCTTGTCCGGCCTGACCCTTGACCGGGTGTCCGCAGCCTCTGCGTCTAGACTGCCAAGTCTAAACGGTTTCATCGTATCAATCCCTCGCCGGGACAGCCGCCGCTCTAATGTCGGGGTGGGCGACTTTTTTTATAGCTCTCTGTGGCTTTGTCGTCGGAGTAGAGAGAGATGGGCAGACGCATACAGTGGGAGATACAAGGACAGTGAAGCGAAATAGGGCGCAAAGGTACGTGGCACAGACGTATGGTTGGAGCGAGGCAGAGGTATATTTACGCAGGGAGTTGTTGAGAGAAGGTTGGACGCTTTTTTTCAGTCGATAGTCGGGCCTCTGCAACGTATCGAAGTCTGGGCGGGTGTGGATAATCCGAGCCTCGTGTGTTGGATGCGGTTCTCACCGACTCAAAGAGGCAGGTGTTGAATCGGCTGGGCGGCTGCGTGGTTAGTTCCACCGGGCAATTTATTGCTCTTGTTTTGTCGTACCCAGCGCGGGAGAATTTTGAAAAACGCCTTGCTCGTTGTAGCCACCTTCCTTTTGCCTACTGGAGACTGACCTCTACTGCATCATTTTCGTCGCTGCTGTTGCTCTCTCTGTTTTATTTTTCATTGAAAGCATGATGCGGAGATCGACCTGCTGTCGGTGGAGAACGGCGGCGTCGAGGTTGCGTGCAGCAATCACCACTACGGAGAGCCGAAGAACATGATAAAGGTGTGCCCTGCTCTCCCAGCCGTGCCGAAACGGTTTCGATTCTCGTGCACCTGTTTTGTTTTCGTGCAATGCCATCTTTACACCAGGCGGTGTATGTATATCGTTGGTTTCGGAGCGACTTTCAGAGCGTTTGAACCGACTTTGCACGGTATCGAGTTGGAAAATGTTCCGTTCGTTTGTGTGTATGGCTTTGGTAAGCGTTGTGTATCAACATCTTCGCTCTCGAGCCATTTCGCAGACGCATTTTCGCACAGTTTCCGGAGCTCTTCACTTTTGTCACTGCTTCCCTGTTCTTGAAGTTCTTTTTCCGATTCGTTCCGGTTATCGCAGTCTTTGTTCGCGTTTCCCAACGGAGAGGGAAGAAACTGCTGGACCTTTCTCGTTCTGTTCTCGCGTAGTATTGAAGGCGAGGACGGCAGGGGGAAAGGCGGAGAAAATTATATCCGGTACATATTTACCTTGACCTGTTCCTTTTCCTGAGTGATCCCGACTGGTGTGTTGATGTACGTACTCGGAGTACTGGACGGTGAAAATTGGCGCACAGTATGGATGGGACCAATGGCCGTAAAAACACACATGACTTTTATGGGCTCCCTGGTTTGGGATCTTTTTCGTAGTGTCCTGGTCGGAGATGTTTATTCGTGCATTTGTCGACCGTTATCGTTTGTTCTGGACCGTTATTTCGTGCCTTTTGGACGCGTTTTCGTGTTCGTGTTCGGAAACATCTATGTTTGTACGTTAACGGTGTGTTGGACCGTTCCGCGGATGTCGCATTCATGCGGACAATATTCTCGGACCTGCCGTAGAGTAGTGCGTCTAGTCACGATGCCTTCATTTGTCGCATCTCATTTGTCGCATCTGACTCCCTTTCTTGGCACACCTGTGTTCGTTATGACTTGGCTTGTTGTTGCTGCTATCGCGATTGCTGTTGCTGCTGTTGTTGCTGGTGTGATTTGCTTTGGCTATTGTTCGTGTTGTTGATGTGGCTACTGCGGCCGGTGTGACCGTTGTGAACGTTGTGGCTGTTGATACCGTTGATGCGGTCGTGACTGAAGTTGTTCGCCGTTGTCGCTTGCTTCAACGCGACAGCCAGGACGGGGAATCAACATGGGCGATGGCTGGGAAACTGCGAGAAAGAAAGATCGTCCCGCCGTCCTAGAGGTCGGACCCGACGGCCTGGTTAAGGTAACCGACTCACCCACGACATGGAACCGGCGGTAGCAAAGAATAAGTCGATGGGAACTCACTCCAAAAACGTGATATATCATGAAGGTTAGAGCACGAAATGGTACTGGATATTGCCTGGCCCGAAGCGGCCATCAACGAAAACGACGAGGCATTACGGTCGGTAGATGTACCCTCCCGCTTCCCGCGGAATCCGCCATCATTAGTCCTCCGCAACACCCGGGTAGACGCTGAACACTGACCGATTCAACAGTAGCTGCTCATCCTGACCCTTTCTCCGTCGGAGTCATTCGCTCCTCCGTCAGCATCAACGTCCGTTACCCTTTGCCTGACTCTGAGCTGATCCTTCCTCCCCCCCATCTCTTGCTTTCTACATCAGGCACCGGGAAGCGATTGGGCTATTCTCCGGCTGGGGGTGATCGGAGAGGTAAAGCGCCTCGTCGTCGACACCAACCACTTCAAAGGAAACTTCCCGGAAAGCATCCTAGTGGAGGGGTGCCTATCCCCCGACGCCCTCGACTCGGTGAGAGCTTCGACATGCACACCAATCGTATCACTGGGCGGCACCGACAGCAACGAAAAAGAAGCCCCCCCCACCCCCCCCCCCCCCCCCCCCCCCCCCCCCCCCCCCCCCCCCCCC